TAGCTATAATTATACTGTATATATAATATATACATATAATATAGCTATATACTGTATATATAGTTATATATATATACACATATAATATAGCTATATACTGTATATATACAATTATATATGATAATGATATCTATAAAAAAATGTAATTGTATATATAAACATTCATACGCTATAATATGTGTATTCATATATATATATATAGATTATGCATTCCTACCATGTTGCATATTTATTTATGTCCAGCACTAATACCCAGAATCTACTTTTCGCTCTCTCTGACCGGGTCTGGCCTGACAGCCCCACCAGCCATCAGAACCAGGGTGAAGATGTTGCAAATGAAGGGCACCAGTCTTGGCCGCCCAAAATGCTGGGATTCCAATGGATAGATGTGGAAAGATAGTGGACAATGTGAGCTGGAGGTATGAAAAACTCCCAAAGCAGTTTTTGGTCAAATCTACATATTGGTTTCGCATCCAAGAAGGGGAGTTGTCTGGTACCTTCCAGTGAACAAAATAAACATGAGTGGTCAAAAAGTCTGCATTGATCAAAAAGCATCTACAAAGTCCTAAAAAGAGAAGGTTTTCACTGGAATTAGATGCTTTTGAAGATCTACAAAGTCCTAATTAGATCTAAATCAAGGTTTTCCATGTCAACTGATATAGATAGCCCTGGGAATTCAGGACATCACAATTTTACCCCGTCCAAATCGACGGCTTTTATTTGAAGTGGAGGGTTTCGATATCCGCCTGAGGCCGGCACGATAAATCCCAGTAGAAAACGGCCAGGAAGAAGCAATTAAAGCAGCCAAACACAGCACCTGACGCTGTAGTTAGGCCAACTGAATTGATGACTGGGTATTTTTTTCAATGGAAAAAAAACCAATGGTGACTGGGCTATCGATATTTTAGGACACCTCCCTCCACACTATATACATGTATATAAATATGATCTCAATTTCCTTTTCATGCAGGAAATTGGTTGTTCCTTTTCATAGAGATTTAGAGAGCTCAAGGCAAACATACCCCAGAGATCCCTGCAGAACAGCACAGATCTGCCTGTCACTGCCGGCTGTTTCCACCTGGCTGTTTCCACTTGGGGTGTCCACATTGGAAGAATTTCAGATCGGGGGGAAGGTTTGTATTGGACGCGTAAAGGTCGGTAAACATACCTCAACTTCCAGAATTCATGTTGGGTTTGTCTGAGATCTGAAGGAACAATTCAAGTCCATCCACATTTCCCAGCTCATCATCTTCCCCTTTAAAGCAGCTATGTTGGTTTTGTTGTTGCACCATTTCCGAAAAGAAACATGTGTGCCGTTGAGGAGAAAACAACACTGGGACCGTCCGACCTCAATACTCCTTGTGAACTCGCGGCTGCGTCATGTCATGTTCCCAATCATCCGTGCCACCAGATCTAGTCATGGTCAATGGAGAATCTTTCCTTTAGTTATAATATATACGTATGTATATGTCTTAATAAAACAATATCTATGCATGATGCTTTGGACATAGGATTTTTGTCTTGCCATATTTGATTGCCATGGATCAAAACACACCTGTATCTCCCTCTAGACAATATCTATATAACATATTATATATATATACACATACATACATACATACATACATACATACATACATAC